TCTGGGTGCTGCCGATGCTGTGGTTGGTGCTGCTGCTCTCCGAGGCTGGTGCCGTGCTGGAAACTGGCTGCAGTTTGGAGATGGGACCTGGCTCACGCCGCCCGCCGTGGGGCAGGGGGGAAACACCAAGGGGAAACCAGACTCAGGGCAAATGGTGGCGGCCTTGGATCATCCCCACAGGACCTTCCAGTCCACATGCACAACGCCTCATGGATCACTCCCCAGCTGGCCCCCAAGCCCCTGGGATGGAGATGAGCATGGGGGACCATGGTGGCACCAGGAGCAGGTGGGAGGTGGTGGAGGGAACCCCAAGGTAGTAGGGTGACCCTAGGGAGCTGTGGACACCTGGAGCAGGGTTATTGCCCTATGGCATTGCCAGGAAGGCTGTACAGATGAGGGCAATGGAGCAGCCTGGTCCTTGGATCACCTGGGAACCTTGGCCAGTGGGGAAAAATGGGCAACCCAGTAAGGGTGTGTGTGGCCCCCCTATCCCACCGCAGGGGTCCCCAGGGGTGGTGGATACTCACGAGTGTGTGAGTAGATGTACCAGAGCCCGGCGGTGAGAAGGGCCCCGATGAGGAAGGCGCCGAAGGTGATGCCCAGGACAGCAGCCAGTCCCAGCCCACGGTCTGTGGGAGAACGAGGACATCAGCACTGCACACTGGGAGATTCCCATCCCCATTCCCAGCCTGGCCCCTCCCCTGCTCCAAACTCACTGTTGGGCAGCCTCCAGCTGTCCTTCACTGTCACCTCCAGGACCTTCTCAGAGATGGTGTAATTCTGCAGAGGTAGAGGTTGAGGTGAGAGGGGGGAGAGATCCACACCCCAGCAGGGGGACAGGGCTGCGAGCCCCCAGGCTTTTTGGGAATCAGCAATGCTGCTCCCAGATGGGCTCCATCACCAATGGTGTGGGAGAAACTCACCAGGCTGCCCCCACCAACAGTGGGGAGGGACATGGTGGCATCACAGGGTGTGAGGGTTACACTGACCTGCAGGCCAACCTTGCACTTGAGGTTGGCAGAGATCGGGATGCGCCCGCCCTCGGGCAGGGCATAGGTGAAGCGGAAGCGCCAGACCTTCCTCCCGTGGCTGCTGGGGGGACCCTCCAGCACGGCCACCCCCGTGCCACGTGCCTCCCCACCCTGCACCAGCAGCACTGGCTTCACCCCTGGTGCCACCAGCCAGCACTCCGTCAGCTGCAGGTCGACTGAGTGGTCCTCCCACCGCATGGATGCCTGCCACAGTGAGGGAATGGGGGGACACTGTCAGGGTCACCAGCCCAGGGATAGCAGGACTCCCCCAGCCTGGGCACTGGGATGGTGGAAGTACCTGCACGAAGACCTCCTTGTTGATCTCCAGCTCCGTCTGCGGTGCCTCAAAGGCAGCAGTGTGGAAGAGGCGCAGGAAGAGCCCCTGTGGGATCGTGCACTGGAAGGCCACCTGCAAGTGGGGACAGCACTGAGGCCACCTCCAGCACACAGCACCCACTCTGGTATTGGCACCCTTCTCCCACTCCCAGGCACACTGGGAAACCCAGCTCTTACCCGCACGCTCCGGAGCACTGCACCCTTGGCCAGGCTGAGGATGAGCTGTGAGAAGGGCAGGAAGGTTGGGTCAGCCAAGTGGTCCCCACTGCTGGGGTCTACTGTCATGCTGGGATGGGATGGGATGGGATAGGCTGGGCTGGGCTGGGATAGGTTGGGATAGGATGGGATGAGATAGTCCCACCATGGGATGGGATGAGATGGGATAAAATGGGATAGTCCCACCACAGCTCTGTCAGCACCCGGCTGTAGACATGGGGCATCAGCAGGGCTTGTGGCAGCACCCCAGGCAGCTCCCACCTCACCTCGTTGTTGGCATGGTCCTTGCCCTCCAACGAGGTGCCGCAGTGGCTGAGGGGGGTTTTCAGCATGAAGTGGGTGGCATTTTTCTCTGCCTGGCAGCTGATGTCCCTCAGGGTGATGTTCACCACATCCTTGATGGGCTGGGAGAAAAGCACGTGGTGGTCACTCACTGGCTGGGGACAGCCCCATGCCACCCACCCTCAACACCCAGAGGAGAATGCAACCCCTGTGTGATGCTGGTGGACATTGGGACCCCTCCCTGCCCACCTCACCTCCAGGGAGGACCTGGCAATGACGATCTCCATGGTTTCATCTGTGCACTTCCAGGGCTGGAGCGTGAGGAGCAGCATGCGGGGCAGTGAGCTGGTGGGGGGGGCCAAGGGGGTGGTTGTTGTTGTTGTCATCTTGCTTGTCTCTGCAGGACAGGGAGATAGGGGTGCTGAGTGGGGGTGGTGGGACCTCTCCCAGCCCACCCAGCCCTGGGATGCTGGTGGCCTCACCACGCTCCTGGATCTCCAGGCTGATACGGGTGCTGACTGGGATAGTGGAGTAGGAGGCAATGATGCTGTAGTTCTTCTCAAAGGCTTTAGCGATGAGGCCCTGCTCTGTGTCAGGCAGCAGCTCCCCAGGGATCAGCATCGAGGAGATGGGCATGATCTTGTACTTCCCAGACACCTACAGCAGGTGGGGTGGAAGGGGAGGCAGCACAGCAGGGCTAAGTGGGGACAGGCACAGCTGGGGATGCTCAAGGCAGGGATGGCTTCTGGATTCACCCCTGTTAGAAGGGCTTGCAGTGAGGGGGTTGCCACCTCCCCATGTCTGATGTCCCCCGGTGCCCACCTGCCACCCTCCTCATGCCACCCTCATGCCACCACTCTCCTGGGCACCTGGCAGACCCCTTGGTGGGGATGGTGAGGGAATACGCATCCCACTCAGCCTACCAGGAACTGGATGTGGCACTTATTGACGGAGAGGGACCAGGTGAAGTTGGCCCTGCTCTGGAGGATGAGGATCTGGTTGCTGATGTGTGTCTCAGGACAGCGCAGGGACAGGTTCACCTCCGTGATGGGGGAGCTGTGAAAGCATGAGATGCCATCCCTCAGCATCAGCATTCCACACTGGTGGGCCCCATATCCAACCTGGGATGCAGCGTTCAGCCCTTGACACACCCCAACACCTTCCCAAGCACCTTCAGGCATATCCCACTACCAGTCCCACCCCTGGGGTCCCACCGCTGGCACTGTGGTACCTGGGCTCTGACTGAAAGTGGATGATGTGGGCGACCCTGGTGCTCTGGGCATCCCTGTTTGAGCAGCCCTTCATCCCATGGAAGAAGACCTCAGCCTCGAGGTGCAGTGTGGCATTGAAGTCGTCCTGTGGGATGCAGTCCAGGGGCCTGCTGGCATCTGTGTAGGCAGGGGGTGGTCATCAAAGCCAAACCAGGCTCAGCGGGTGGGGAGATGCTCAGAGCCATCAGTGCCCATGGCATCTCCCTGAGGACGGTCCTTTGCCCCTGGAGGTTGTCACCATTCCAGAGCAGGAAGATCACTGCTGCCCACTCCAGCCCCCCAGTGCCAGCCCCACATACCTTCTCCCAGGCGGAGCTGGATCCAGTGGGGATCCTGCAGCTTGCTGTAGGACGTGATGCCCTCGTAGGAAAACTGAGCCCAGGCCAGCAGCTCCCCCTCGTTGGAGGCCACAGGCAGCTCAGGGCCTGGCGCTGTGGTGGTCCCTGGGCTGAGGTTGGCATCCTGTGGGCCAAGTGGCAGCCTGAGCCAGGGTTGGGGGCAAGGCACATCCCTCCACGGCTCAGCCTGGCATGGGGAAAGTGAGGAAAACCTTTCCTCCCAGTGTGCAGGATGCAAGATCAGGTGAGTGTCCCCAGTGCCTGGGCTGGGGGTCACCCTGGCTGAATGGGGTTTTTTTGTGAGCAGCCAGAGCGGCCAGCGGCACGCGAAGGGCTCAGCCCACTTTATTATTAGCCACAAACAAAGCAGGAGGTTTATTTTGCTAACAAAGCGCCCGACCCCAGCTCAGCTCACTGGAGCCAAACCCCATCCCTGACCTTCCTCCTGCCGGCCAGAGGAAACGGGAGCTTTTTCCAGCCCTATGCGTCATTCCCTGCCTGGCCAGCCCCGTGTTCAGTGCCACTGGCAGCGGCCAGGGGCGTCCCCTCCTCCCTGGGGTACCATAAACATCACGTCAGGGGATAGGGGAGGGACATCAATTTTCACCAGAGACCCCCTTAAACATCTCCATGGATGGCCCCAGCCCTGCTGCCCCCTGGATTGCTCCTGGTATGGGGCTGTTGGCACTCACGGTGCGGATGAGCAGGTCTGGGCACAGGGAGGTGATGGTGGCAGAGCAGTGGGCACAGAGGAGGATGAGCACTGCTGACCGGCTGCAGGAATCAGCTCGTGGTATTACAGACACGTTCAGAGGGACAGCAGAGGCCTGGAGGGGAAAGAGAGAGGGTCACCACTGTGGCCACCGAGCCCCAGCTGCTGTCACCTCCCTGGCTGCTCCCAGACCCAGAGGCAGCAGGAAGAGCCTGTGGGCTGGCCCTAAAGATAAGCACCAGGGTATCCCTACCTCGAGGATGGTGGTATCCCCACAAAGGAGTCCAGGGCACCCCAGACTCTGGGGTCTAGGCACCAAACCTTTGGGCACCAGGACATCCTTAAGTCAGAGAGTCAGAGTGCAGTAATCTCTATACCGAGCAACAGGGGGTCACCCCACTGCAGACTGGGGTGTCCCTACACCAGCAATCAGAGCATCCTCACAGTGGAGACTGGGATGTCCCCACACCAAGGACTGGAGCATCCCCACACTAAGGACAGGGCACTAGAGCATCCCCACTGTACGTACTGGGGTGTCTCCCACTGAAGACTGCAGAATTCCTACTTTGGGCACCAGGACATCCCCTGGCCTGTTTCCCAGCCCCATCCCAGCACCATGCAGCCGCTCCAGGCTTGGGACTGGCCATCCTGGTGCACAGGGATGCTGGGGGCACAGTGGTGGCACACATCACTCCTCATGGCTAGCACTGCCTGGTGGCCTCTAGCCGGAAATCTGGATGGGGAAGCCAAAACACCCGGCGCTAAGTTTGGCAACTGCTGCCTGAATCATGGCGAGCAAAGTGCTGACCAGGCAGCAGGCAGCAAAAACCAGCTGGGGACTGAGCACGTGGAGGCAGTAGCTGGGCACAGGGCTGGCAGGATGAGGCTGGGGGCATCCCAGCCTGGGCACGGCCCCGTGGCAAGCGTGGGTGGTCGGGGACCCCGCGTGGCCCCGGGCGTCGCGGAGGAGCCGGCGGCTGTTTTTCCTGCCGCGTGTTTTGTGGCGCTCCATTGTTTGGGCAGGCAGCAAAAACCAGCTGGGGACTGAGCACGTGGAGGCAGTAGCTGGGCACAGGGCTGGCAGGATGAGGCTGTGGGCATCCCAGCCTGGGCACGGCCCCGTGGCAAGCGTGGGTGGTCGGGGACCCCGCG